ATCGCTCGCAATATGTGTCCATTTCTGACAGTGACTCCCTCCCTCTCCCAGTCACGTGTGGTGTTCCCCAGGGTTCCATTCTCGGCCCCCTACTATTTACATTATTTATAAATGATCTGCCTAATGTCTGCCAATCCTCAAATGTACACATGTACGCAGATGACACGGTAATCTATGCGAGCAAATCCAATCTACCTCAACTTGAGGCTTTGCTCCAAGACCAGTTTACAGAGGTAGAAAAGTGGATCGCAAAAAACAAACTCTTCCTGAACACTGACAAAACTGTCACAATGATCTTTGGAACGGTACCTAAATTACACAAATTACACAATCCCCACCTATCCATCAAAACAAATTCAAATGGCACACTGACCGCGGTCCACTCTTTCAAATACTTGGGTATGATATTAGACCCCAATCTATCTTTTAGCCTGCACATAGAAAAGCTTGCATCTAAACTTTATCCAAAATTAGGTGCCCTGTACAGAAACAAAGCCTGCCTAAGCCCTACAGTAAAGGAAAAGATTGTACAGCAAATGCTGATGCCAATCATTGATTATGGGGATGTAGTATATGCGTCTGCATCGCAATCCCACATTAATAAACTCAACACATTGTATAACTCGTTCTGCAGATTTGTGCTACAATGTAATTACAGGACCCATCATTGTGACATGCTAAAGGAACTAAACTGGCTGTCGCTGGAATCCAGACGCACCCTTCATCTTTCCAGCCTTGTTTTTAAGAGCTTTTCTGGGAAACTCACACCCTACCTGAACAAAATGCTTTCCCCAGCTGTTCCCACTTTCTATAACCTCTGATCCAGTACAAGCACTTTACTTAGTCTACCTCAATACAAAAAGAAAGCGGCCCGATCCTCCTTCTCCTACAGAGCGCCGCAATTGTGGAACGACCTCCCGCACAATTTAAAATCTTCCCTATGCCTAAAGTCTTTTAAGAGATCCCTCTCTACATACCTCAAAACAGAATGCACGTGTCATGGTTGATTATATATTTCCTGCCTATTCTATGTTAAATTTTGTATATATTGTGTATTAATATTGTTTTTGTATTTTGTTGTACCTAATGTAACAATGCAATGATTTGTGGACCCAGGACGTACTTGAAAATGAGAGAAATCTCAATGTATCTTTCCTGGTAAAATATTTTATAAATAAATAAATAAATAAATAAATAAATCCCCACCTTAGGATATGCCAGGAACAGTGAATAAAATAGTAAAAAGAATAAGTAATATAATATATAATTTATTTGATATAGAATATAAAACCAATTGTTTAATATAAATTATAAAAACCAATAACGCGTTTCGCCTGATAGGCTTTATCAAATTGGAATAGGACCATAACCTGGCACAAGAGGAGTATATATAACTTATACATAGATTCAAAATTGGCGCCAAAATTGAGCACCAATTAGAGCTGTGCAAATTGTACATACAGTATATACAATAAAAAGATAAAAAAGAATATACAGTATTAATATATTGAATATTACAATATTGTTTACATGCTTTTAATGTAAAAACGAAGGTTATATTATATATATAAACCTAAAATGAATAGATCGTGCGTGTCACGTGACCCGCTAAGCACCATGGGATTTGTAGTGCGTGGGCCACGTGACCGCAAAGAAATGAGCTGATGATAAGCTGTCCGTGCGGCTAATGCAAAGAAGAACGGCACACACGGGCAGCTGGGTGGGGTTAGACAATGTCACGTGACCCGCGGCGTCGAACACCTACAGTATCCGCGGGTCACGTGACCGAAGCTCCAATACGTGGGTATGACCACCAGATGTTTAAAGATAAGACTAGCAGAACACTGCAGGAATATAAGAAATGGATATCTTAACCATTCTGTATCCAAGCACTTTATTAATCATAATCGAGACCCAAAATTTCTCATATGTTTAGGAATTCAAAAATGCCAAATACCTTGGAGAGGTGGAAATATAAAAAACATTCTTGGCAGATCAGAGATGGAATGGGTATTTTATTTACAGACCCTAACGCCCCAAGGTCTAAATGTAGACTTTGATTTATTCAATTTTTTATAAACCTTGCAATTGTATTGTTTTTCCTATTTACTTGTTTTTTATTAAGTGGTTTTATTATACTGACCCATCCATTTAAAACAGTTTATTTATTTCTTGCATGTCTTTCTGTTATTATTTTATTTGTATTTATGCTCCTTTTCCTGTGTATTTCAAGGGCAGATCTATTGTATATCTTTTAAACATTATTTTACCCTTCATTTATACCTTATATATTGTATTTTATATATACATGCTTTAAACTTCATTTCCCATAATCCTTTTAGCTTTGGTCACGTGACCCGCGGGTACTGAAGCTATGTGACGCCGCGGGTCACGTGACATAGCCCTACTCCTCCCTGCTGCCCGTGCGTGCCGCCCTTTCCAGTATTAGCCGCACGGACAGCTCATACACTATCTTTCGAGCTTCGGTCACGTGACCCGCGGATACTGTAGGTGTTCGACGCCGCGGGTCACGTGACATTGTCTAACCCCACCCAGCTGCCCGTGCGTGCCGTTCTTCTTTGCATTAGCCGCACGGACAGCTTATCATCAGCTCATTTCTTTGCGGTCACGTGGCCCACGCACTACAAATCCCATGGTGCTTAGCGGGTCACGTGACACGCACGATCTATTCATTTTAGGTTTATATATATAATATAACCTTCGTTTTTACATTAAAAGCATGTAAACAATATTGTAATATTCATTATATTAATACTGTATATTCTTTTTTATCTTTTTATTGTATATACTGTATGTACAATTTGCACAGCTCTAATTGGTGCTCAGTTTTGGCGCCAATTTTGAATCTATGTATAAGTTATATATACTCCTCTTGTGCCAGGTTATGGTCCTATTCCAATTTGATAAAGCCTATCAGGCGAAACGCGTTATTGGTTTTTATAATTTATATTAAACAATTGGTTTTATATTCTATATCAAATAAATTATATATTATATTACTTATTCTTTTTACTATTTTATTCACTGTTCCTGGCATATCCTAAGGTGGGGATCATACCACCCATGCGCTAAATAGAGTGCAGAAAGGACTGCACTCTACTTGTGAGTATATTTTATTTACTTTTAACTCCTTTTACCAAATATTCCATCAGAGAGCACTATTTGCTGTTTTTCTCTCTTTCTGAGAATTGGATACCGGCACTCCCCAGGAGGAAAAGCACCCCTATAAGCGGAGGGTTGTCCGCTGTATGCCCATCAAACTAGAGCTAGTCCTAGCTCATGGAAATGTGAGTGCAAAATCTATATTTTATATTCACTACCACTTATTTATACTATCTGCACGATTGTTTTTTTCTCCCATTGTGTCTTTCATATCGTGAGACGGACAACTGAAAACAAAGGAGACACTACACCAGTTTGGACAATATTGGAACTTTCTCGTATTACTGTCACTAATCTGACTGGGACTTTGTTTTATTATTATTTTTTATTCTATTAGGCGCAGCCTTTTCTGTGTTTTCTTGAGATCCTGTGATCTCCCTGCCGGCCTCGGCCCCACAGCCATTGCGGCCCACCGGGCATTTGCCCGGTATGCCGATGGCCAGTCCGGGCCTGGCTATAGTGGCCCAAATTGAAACATAGGCCCATCAAATCCGTCTCAAAATTCTACTGTAAATACCAAAATTGACAGGTCTCCTATATGACGCTATAGCTTCACGAAATAGTGCCAAAGACATACAATGGGGGTTTCGTTGTACTCAGCAGATGTAGCTGAACACAAAATTTTACGAAATACACATGAGAATTTCTTTGTTATAATTTTGTGTGTCAAAAAACAAAAAAAACAAAATTTTAGTCCAATATTTAGCAGGGATTGGCAGTGAAATGGCTACGTAAAACATGTCAAAATAATGTTAGTTAAAAAGCCTGTGATGTCTTCTTTATATAAATATATACTTTTGTGTGGCAATTTTGTTTTCTTTTATGGCTATTAAGCTTACAAGACAAACATACCAAATTCTAAAATCGCTCCACATTAAAAGTTTATTTTACTCCTTGTGTTTTGTGAGCTGTAACTACCAAAAAAAACAGAAAATCCTAGACAAATATATTCTGTAAATTAGAACAACTAAATTAATTTATTTTTAATTACTTTCCTTAACCTGCACAAATTACACACACATTATTATTGCAAAAACTGAAGAAAAAAAACAATATTTTTAAATTTTGGGGCATTTTGTTGTATTTTTTTATAATAAATAAGCATTTATATATGTATATGTTACATCAATTTAAAGCCCTTTTTGTCCTTTAAAAAACGGTATATAATATGTGTCGGTGCAATAAAATAGTAAAATGCAAATTGCAGTTGAACACAAACAGCAAGATTGTGCAAGACAATCTTTTGAAGCTGTGTCCTTAAGGGGTTAAGGGGTTAAATAGGACTTATAGTCCCTCCCACAATTACAGGCCAAGTCTTCCATAGAGAAAGAGAGAGAGAGAGAGACAGTTGTATACGAGTATGTATTTAGGCTCTACGCACTATCTACTCTGACCTATATTAGACTGGGGTGAGATCCATCCATCTTTCCATTTTTTTGTTTGCTGTATTTTTTTGTTTACTGGGATTCTTTCTTGTCTTGATTAACTATTATAGTCATTTTGTCACTTGTTTTCTCTTTTCTTTTTTTCTTTTTCTCTTTGTTATTTTTTTTTTTCTTTTTTTCTATTATTGGTACTTTTTTCCTGAAGATTGGAATAACATATACTATTTTGTCTGTACAGACGTGCAAACATTCACCACCTTTTTCATTTTTTTATTTTGAGCAGGAGACCCATGCTCATACAACTCATCTATATTTGGTGGATCCACCGGACTGATTTTGCATTGTTTAGATCACTGTAGATATGTATGTGTGTTTGAGTAGTGTGCATTATATAAACACACTGCATTATATACACACACTACACAAACTCACTGCATTATATACACACTACACAAACACACACACTGCATTATATACACAGTGTGTTTGTGTAGTGTGTTTAATGCAGTGTGTTTGTGTAGTGTGCATTATATAAACACACTGCATTACAGGGAGTGCAGAATTATTAGGCAAATGAGTATTTTGACCACATCATCCTCTTTATGCATGTTGTCTTACTCCAAGCTGTATAGGCTCGAAAGCCTACTACCAATTAAGCATATTAGGTGATGTGCATCTCTGTAATGAGAAGGGGTGTGGTCTAATGACATCAACACCCTATATCAGGTGTGCATAATTATTAGGCAACTTCCTTTCCTTTGGCAAAATGGGTCAAAAGAAGGACTTGACAGGCTCAGAAAAGTCAAAATAGTGAGATATCTTGCAGAGGGATGCAGCACTCTTAAAATTGCAAAGCTTCTGAAGCGTGATCATCGAACAATCAAGCGTTTCATTCAAAATAGTCAACAGGGTCGCAAGAAGCGTGTGGAAAAACCAAGGCGCAAAATAACTGCCCATGAACTGAGAAAAGTCAAGCGTGCAGCTGCCACGATGCCACTTGCCACCAGTTTGGCCATATTTCAGAGCTGCAACATCACTGGAGTGCCCAAAAGCACAAGGTGTGCAATACTCAGAGACATGGCCAAGGTAAGAAAGGCTGAAAGACGACCACCACTGAACAAGACACACAAGCTGAAACGTCAAGACTGGGCCAAGAAATATCTCAAGACTGATTTTTCTAAGGTTTTATGGACTGATGAAATGAGAGTGAGTCTTGATGGGCCAGATGGATGGGCCGTGGCTGGATTGGTAAAGGGCAGAGAGCTCCAGTCCGACTCAGACGCCAGCAAGGTGGAGGTGGAGTACTGGTTTGGGCTGGTATCATCAAAGATGAGCTTGTGGGGCCTTTTCGGGTTGAGGATGGAGTCAAGCTCAACTCCCAGTCCTACTGCCAGTTCCTGGAAGACACCTTCTTCAAGCAGTGGTACAGGAAGAAGTCTGCATCCTTCAAGAAAAACATGATTTTCATGCAGGACAATGCTCCATCACACGCGTCCAAGTACTCCACAGCGTGGCTGGCAAGAAAGGGTATAAAAGAAGGAAATCTAATGACATGGCCTCCTTGTTCACCTGATCTGAACCCCATTGAGAACCTGTGGTCCATCATCAAATGTGAGATTTACAAGGAGGGAAAACAGTACACCTCTCTGAACAGTGTCTGGGAGGCTGTGGTTGCTGCTGCACGCAATGTTGATGGTGAACAGATCAAAACACTGACAGAATCCATGGATGGCAGGCTTTTGAGTGTCCTTGCAAAGAAAGGTGGCTATATTGGTCACTGATTTGTTTTTGTTTTGTTTTTGAATGTCAGAAATGTATATTTGTGAATGTTGAGATGTTATATTGGTTTCACTGGTAATAATAAATAATTGAAATGGGTATATATTTGTTTTTTGTTAAGTTGCCTAATAATTATGCACAGTAATAGTCACCTGCACACACAGATATCCCCCTAACATAGCTAAAACTAAAAACAAACTAAAAACTACTTCCAAAAATATTCAGCTTTGATATTAATGAGTTTTTTGGGTTCATTGAGAACATGGTTGTTGTTCAATAATAAAATTAATCCTCAAAAATACAACTTGCCTAAAAATTCTGCACTCCCTGTATATACACACACTACACAAACACACTGCATTATATACACACTACACAAACACACACACTGCATTATATACACAGTGTGTTTGTGTAGTGTGTTTAATGCAATGTGTTTGTGTAGTATGCATTATATATAAACACAATGAACAAACACACTGCATTATAAACACACACACTGAATTATATAAACACACTGCATTATATGTAGTGTATGTGCATATAATGGAGTGTGTTTGTAAAAAATGTTAAAGGTTTTCTTTCTTTTTTTTTTACAATTTGTAAACTTTGCAAAACCCTTGTCCTGCCCCGCCCCTCCTACAAAACCTCTGTCCTTCCTCTTCTACAAATCCTGTACTGCCCCGTCTACAAAACCCCCGCAACCCCCTTCCACAAATCCCCTGCTTATCCCCCCTTATAAAGACTCCTGTCCCAATACAAAACCACCGCCCCCTTCTACAAAATCCCTGCAGCCCCACACACACATTTACAGGCAGACAGTCACACACTCAGTTACAGGTGGACAGTCACACACTCAGTTACAGACAGACAGTCACACACTCAGTTACAGGCAGACAGTCACACACAGTCACAGGCAGACAGTCACACATACACATTTCCTCCGTGCGGCCAGTTTATCAGCTGTTTGCTTGTGTGAGCTGTACTGGCCGCACGGCACCCTAACTACCATGGGACACTGTGCAGCCACAGCTCACACAGCCCCCTCCAGCCAGGGCCGGTGCAAGGATTTTTGCAGCCCTAGGCAAAAGTAAAGTTTGCCGCCCCCCATGTGACTTCACAATGCCCCACCCATATGATTTGCCATGTTAACTAACGCCAGGGCTGCAGTGCCGCTGTGTTTACATTAAAAGGCCTGCAGGGACAGGCTATAGACACCAGAACCACTACATTAAGCTGAAGTGGTTTTGGGGACTATAGTGTTTCTTTAACCCCTTAAGGACACATGACATGTGTGACATGTCATGATTCCCTTTTATTCCAGACGTTTGGTCCTTAAGGGGTTAATGTGAGGTAAATAAGAGCTTAGTGCCACGAATAATATGCTTCTTGGGATTAGAACATATCCCTCAGCCCCCACGTAAAGGTGGGTGGGATACCAAACTCCGTCAGAGGGAGGCATTTTGGATTTTTAAACTTCAAACCTTATCACCACATGGTTTGAATGAGGGGTTTTCGTATACCCCTTTCATTCAATAAACATTTATTAGTAACTTTGTATGGGTATATATATTTTTTTGTCAATTATGATCTTAATTATTAGTATTTAATATTAATTTTGAAGTTTTATTCACGTTTTGGTTTGTTAAGTGTTTATTATTATCTAGGGACCCAAGCTACTATATATCTCCTTATATAATTTTAGTGATGCTACACTGGTTATTACTATTTACTTAATTGTTTGGAGCAAGGGATTCTATATTGCTCAGGTTACACCTGATACCTACCATGTAGTAGGATTTTACATTGAATGTACTCCTCATACTATGGATGGATAAGGGACAAATGGGAGTGTTATACATCCCAGTGTGCCCATTCTAAAATTACACCCTTGTGTGAGGTGGTTGTTTCTATTCTTTCCAATGAGACTTGCCTTGTTTCTTATAATTATACACTTAAGTGCCTTATATTTAGGCAGTAAGTGGTTAATTTCGGATCATGATCTGATCACCCTTGAATGTATCTTTCAGGGCTGATCAGTATGTTAATCCCCCTGCTGTACTGTATTGTCGGGTCTTACTAACCCCGCCCATCCAGTGACGTCTTTGTGACTCATTAGGCTGTTAATGAAGGGGACGTAGTATAGGGATGGTGCCCGCCCCTTCACTGCCCACGTGACACAGCGCTTGACATCATAATCACGTGGGGTATGCGGACGTGGTGTCCTCCTCTTCCCCGCGCACGTGATGTAGCGTGTTGACGTCACGGAGAGTATGCGGAAGGAGGTCGGGCTACAGTGGACCATGAACATATGACTGAGAGGCGGGGTCTATCGGGACCAATGAGATGTGAGTTTTTCACTTTGATGAACCAGCTGTTAACAATGTTCAATTGTGTATTGGACATTTAAAGAAGCGGGAGAGACCGGTAGCTTTTGTATTTGCCCCTGACGACGGCGTCTTGATACGTTGAAACGCGCGTCGGGCTTTTTTCCTATTTTATTTTTAACTATGCACTTGGGTTGTAGGGGTTAGCACTTAACTGAGTTTCCACTTTTTTTAGTCCCTCCATAGGACTAGTTGTGTTAGTAGGCATTTGATCTATGTTTTGCTGAGGTATCAGGGATTTTATTTAGATAGCATCTAGCTGTCAATATTAAGATAGTTTCTAGACGATCTATGGCTATGTAGTGTAGAAAGGAGTGGTTATATGCCTGCTAGATACCTACTATTAGTCTCTGCTAGATCTCTTCATTTAATTTAGAACAGGCTATATCTACCTCCAGTTCTATCTGTCCATTGCTACCTTTAGCTTCTTACATAGATATTTTCTATCTACTACACCTATGTACCTAGTGTATAGGAGACTAAGGCTTTTATCTTTAATAAATTACGATACACATCTTTTATCATAAGTACATGTTTATAGGGTTGTACAGCTCTTTCCCGGCACAATATCAAGTTGGGTACTTGTGCTGGCGAATTAGTGTCTTTTTTCTTGTTTTCCATTAGGGTTATCCCCTGCATCTGTACAACCTGGTGGCACTTTTTTTGTTTTTTTGATTTCAGGGTTCTAGGAGGGATATGTACCTTTCTTACCCCTATTTGGGCTGAAAGGAGATTCCCAACTGGACTTGGATTCTATTTTTAGAGAATATACTAGATTGCCTACTTACAACCAGATGAGGATGATGATGGGCTCTAGCTGCAGTCTGGCTCCACTGGTCTGGTGCAGAACAGGCTCTCTGGAGGCGGTTTGTAACTGTGGTCACAAAAATCAATGTTCTGGGAGAACGGGAAGCAGCTCCATTTTTTGGGGGCCCTTTACACAGCTCAAGGTCTGGGTCCCAGGGTCCACCTTCATGTTCCACCAATGAGTTTGTTCACAGGGGGTGGAGTGTGTAGGGGATGTCCTGATATGTGTGTAAGGAATGCATTGTGTGAAATTGTGTTTGTATGTGTAAGGGCTGCAAGGTGTGTTTCTGTGTATGTATGGGATGCATTGAATGTGTGTAAGGGGTGCATTGAGTGTGTGTAATGAATGCATTGTGTGTTTCTGTGTGTTTAAGGGATGCATTGTGTGTAACGGTTGCATTGCTTGTGTATGTGTGTCTGTGTGTGTAATGCATTGTGTGTTTTTCTGTGTGCAAGGGGTGCATTGTATGTATGTGATGAATGTCAATCTCTCCTCCCGCTCCAATTTCCTTCTCCTCCTCCCAATTTCTCTTTCTCACTCCCCCTCCTAATTTCTCTTTCTCACCCCCCCTGCTAATTTCTCTCTCACCCCCCTCCTAATTTCTCTTTCTCACCCCCTCTCCTTTCTCTTTCTCACCCCCCTTCTTTCTCTTTCTCACTCCCCCTCCTTTCTCTTTCTCTTTCTCTTACTCACCCCCTTCTTTCTCTTTCTCACCCCCCTTCTTTCTCTTTCACCTCCCCTTCTTTCTCTTTCACCTCTTTCTCTTTCTCACCCCCTTTTTCTCTTTCTCACCCCCTTCTTTCTCTTTCACCCCCTTCTTTCTCTTTCACCCCCCCTCCTTTCTCTTTCTCACCCCTTTTCTCTTTTCTCACCCCCCTTTTTCTCTTTCTCACCCCTTCTTTCTCTTTCCACCCCCTTCTTTCTCTTTCTCACTCCCCTCCTTTCTCTTTCTCCTCCCCCCCTCCTTTCTCTTTCTCCTCCCCCTCCTTTCTCACCTCCCCTTCTTTCTCTTTCACCCCCTCCTTTCTCTTTCTCACCCCCCCTTTTTTCTCTTTCCACCCCTTTTTTCTCACCCCCCTTCTTTCTCTTTCACACCCCTTCTTTCTCTTTCACCCCCCTCCTTTCTCTCTTTCTCACCCCTTTTTCTCTCTCTCACCCCCCTTCTTTCTCTTTCTCACCCCTTCTTTCTCTTTCTCACCCCCCTCTCTTTCTCTTTCTCCTCCTTCTCACCCCCCCTCCTAATTTCTCTTTCTCCCCTCCCCCCTACCTTTGCTGTAGCGTGGCCGAGCCCAGAGCTTTTGTTTCCTGTACCCGGCCGGACTAACAGGAAGTGCACACTCAGTGTGCACTTCCTGTTAGTCCAGCCGGGTACAGGAGACAGCTGCTCCCTGTACCCGTCGGACCAGCATGCTGCAGTGCTCAGCCACGCTACTACAGAGGGAGTGACAGGAGGGAGCGCTCAGCGCTTCCCTCCTGTCAGCCCCCTTTCTCAGGCTGCGCCCGGGCGTTGCGGTCCGCCCTCATGGACGCACCGCCCGGGCAAAGCTGCAGCCGCCTGAGGCTCTCTACAGAGCGCTTGGTCGGCTGCAGCATGGGGGGCTGGTCATGGCACCCCCAACCCTTCTGGCACCCGGGGCGGACCGCCCCCTCCGCCCCCCCCCTTAGTACGCCACTGGTGTTTGTGTATGTATGTAATTGAGGGGGCATTTTTTATTAAAACATATTTTTTTTAAAGATTTTTTTAATATTTAATTATTATTATTTATTTTTTAGTCCCCCCTCCTTGCTTGTTACCTGGCCAGGGAGGAGGGCTATGACATTTCTTAGTGGTCCAGTGGCATGGACTGTGTACTGAGCAGTGGGGGGGGGGCCGGCAGCAAGCGTTTACTTAACTTCCCAGCAGCTCCTCCAGCTCTCCTGTGTAAATCTTGTGGCCAGCGTGCCACACGGAGCATTGCCACGGGTCTCCCGAGATTTACACAGGGGAGCTGGAGGAGCTGCTGGGAAGGTAAGTAAACGCTTGCTGCTGGCCCCCCCAGGACCTGTTATATATTATCGGCAATATCGGTATCTGAACTGGCCGATACCAATATTGCCGAAAATACCGAATATCATCCGATTATATAGGCCAGACCAATAAGTGGTCGATCCCTACAAGGGAGGCCCTCTCTATGCGACCGTGTGAGGCTGCTAACTATTATTTGGTCCGAGGGCGAATGTCCTTTAGCGTGGAGGAAATGAGTTGGCCTTGCGGGACCACTGAGACTAAGGCGAAGAAGCCAGAATTTTTTCCTAATGGCAGCCTAGCCTAGATAAGCCAGGTAGTTGGGGGGGAGAGGGTTTAGGCAAAACATACCTGAGAACCACTTGCGTGTTGGTTACGTCAGAAATTGGTCACAACCCAACACAGAAACTAAGACTTCCACTACTAATATAGTGGAAGAGAGGTTTAAACCTAATGATTGTAAAAGAGGAGTATATGTTATACAGAGTAACAAAAGAAATGTCCCTTTAATGTTGAGAGTAACCCCTTACTCTATACCTTACTCACTGGAAAGTGCTATAAAGAGATTTGATTGAACAACAACGCAGTTGATATATTTCAACTTGAACCTGAAAAGTAAGCATAGAGAAATAAGTCCCTGAAAATACTAGCCTTTTTTGCATTTTTCACACACAAACAAATACTAACGTTAACTTTGGCCAGTGTTTGTGACCAAATGGCTACTAAAAAAAGACTGGACATACCCCATTTGCAATACCTTGGGTTGTCTACTATTACAAATGGTATGCCATTATGGGTGTAAATTTTATTCCTGGGCTACTATACAGTCTCAAAGGCATCGTAACCAATCTGGCGAACTTCAATTTCAAATGTAACGTGCTATATTTGACCCTGTAACTTCCCAAAACGCCATAAAACCTGTACATAGGGGGTACTGTCTTACATGTGAGACTTTGCTGAATACAAATATGTGTATTTTATTGCAGTAAAAGCAAACAGTATTATGACATTGACAGTTAAAATGTCATGTAGAACTAAAAAAATAAAAAAAAATCTTATTTTCTCCCATTTTTTTCATATTAAATTATGTTTCATAGCTAAATATTTGATATTAAATGAAAGCCCTGTTTCCCTGAATAAAATGATATATAATAAGGGTGGGTGCATTTACTATGAAAGAGGTGAATTACGGTTGGACAGACATGTAGCGCAAATGCCAGGTTTTGTTTACATTTTGTTTTGTTCACAACGTGTACATTTGGCTCCGTCCTTAAGGGGTTAATTTTTGTAGCTGAAATAACAGGAGCTTCTCCCACGTGGGAGAAGTAAACAAAACTGGCCGGCAAATGAGGAGACCTTGGGCGGTCTCTAAATGCTGCGTTCATGTGTGTGAATTCCGCCCCCCCAGAGCGGACCACGAGCGTGTGGCAGAGGGGTGAGGAGACTGGAACTATATGACACTCATGATTTTTTTGCGCCCCCCGAGCATGTGGCAAAGCAGCAACTTGTTGCCCACGTGGACCGCACAGACCACGAACCGGAAGTGACATGATCGTGACCTGGAAGTAGCGAACCAGAAGTGATCACCTGCCGAACGTCTGAAACCACGGTGATGCAGGAAAAGGGGGGAGTACTTAAGTAGGGTCAACAAGCCCTTCCCACAACTCCAGGCAAGCCTTTACATACATACATACATACATATATATACAGGGAGTGCAGAATTATTAGGCAAGTTGTATTTTTGAGGATTAATTTTATTATTGAACAACAACCATGTTCTCAATGAACCCAAAAAACTCATTAATATCAAAGCTGAATATTTTTGGAAGTAGTTTTTAGTTTGTTTTTAGTTATAGCTATGTTAGGGGATATCTGTGTGTGCAGGTGACTATTACTGTGCATAATTATTAGGCAACTTAACAAAAACAAATATATACCCATTTCAATTATTTATTGTTACCAGTGAAACCAATATAACATCTCAACATTCACAAATATACATTTCTGACATTCAAAAACAAAACAAAAACAAATCAGTGACCAATATAGCCACCTTTCTTTGCAAGGACACTCAAAAGCCTGCCATCCATGGATTCTGTCAGTGTTTTGATCTGTTCACCATCAACATTGCGTGCAGCAGCAACCACAGCCTCCCAGACACTGTTCAGAGAGGTGTACTGTTTTCCCTCCTTGTAAATCTCACATTTGATGATGGACCACAGGTTCTCAATGGGGTTCAGATCAGGTGAACAAGGAGGCCATGTCATTAGATTTTCTTCTTTTATACCCTTTCTTGCCAGCCACGCTGTGGAGTACTTGGACGCGTGTGATGGAGCATTGTCCTGCATGAAAATCATGTTTTCTTGAAGGATGCAGACTTCTTCCTGTACCACTGCTTGAAGAAGGTGTCTTCCAGGAACTGGCAGTAGGACTGGGAGTTGAGCTTGACTCCATCCTCAACCCGAAAAAGCCCCACAAGCTCATCTTTGATGATACCAGACCAAACCAGTACTCCACCTCCACCTTGCTGGCGTCTGAGTCGGACTGGAGCTCTCTGCCCTTTACCAATCCAGCCACGGGCCCATCCATCTGGCCCATCGAGACTCACTCTCATTTCATCAGTCCATAAAACCTTAGAAAAATCAGTCTTGAGATATTTCTTGGCCCAGTCTTGACATTTCAGCTTGTGTGTCTTGTTCAGTGGTGGTCGTCTTTCAGCCTTTCTTACCTTGTCCATGTCTCTGAGTATTGCACACCTTGTGCTTTTGGGCACTCCAGTGATGTTGCAGCTCTGAAATATGGCCAAACTGGTGGCAAGTGGCATCGTGGCAGCTGCACGCTTGACTTTTCTCAGTTCATGGGCAGTTATTTTGCGCCTTGGTTTTTCCACACGCTTCTTGCGACCCTGTTGACTATTTTGAATGAAACGCTTGATTGTTCGATGATCACGCTTCAGAAGCTTTGCAATTTTAAGAGTGCTGCATCCCTCTGCAAGATATCTCACTATTTTTGACTTTTCTGAGCCTGTCAAGTCCTTCTTTTGACCCATTTTGCCAAAGGAAAGGAAGTTCCCTAATAATTATGCACACCTGATGTAGGGTGTTGATGTCATTAGACCACACCCCTTCTCATTACAGAGATGCACATCACCTAATATGCTTAATTGGTAGTAGGCTTTCGAGCCTATACAGCTTGGAGTAAGACAACATGCATAAAGAGGATGATGTGGTCAAAATACTCATTTGCCTAATAATTCTGCACTGCCTGTATAGTGCGTTTACATCTACATATATATATATATAGAGAGAGAGAGAGAGAGAGAGAGGCAGATATATATATATATATAGAGAGAAAGACAGATATATGTAGAGAGAGATACATATATATATATATAGAGAGAGAGAGAGAGATAGAGGGAGAGAGAGAGAAAGAGTATCTCTCAATCTATATATCTACCTATATTTATAGAGAGACATTTGCACTGGCATACATACCACGGTTGCAGGGGTCGCAGCTGTGACTGGGCCTGGCCAAGCAGCCCTGCGACTCGGTATGTACGCCAGTTTGGCCATGGCCGCATTTTGTCAGCCTCTTCTCCTGGGGGCCCCCGAGGCTGGCAGTGGTGTCACAGGCGTGTGAGGGAGCATTTTCCCCTGCGCTCTCTCTGCCCAGCTCCCTCGCGCGCACCGCAGTGATGCCAGAGCCGGAATATGACATCATTCCGGCTCCGGCATCAGTAAGCAGCGTGGAAGGGAGCGGAACAGGAGGATCAGTGCTCCCTCGCTGCCTGCAGTGACCGGCCGCCCAGCAGCCCCACTGGACCCCAGGGAAAGCTGGAATCCCCTCAGCACTCCCAAAGGTAGGGAGGCTGGAGGATTAAATACAAAAAATAAAAAATGTGAGTGTGTATGTGTGTTAGTGTGTGTGTGTCAGTGAGTATGTTACTGTGTGTGTGTCTGTTACTGAGTGTGTTAGTTTGTGTGTGTCTGTTATTGAGCGTGTGTCTGTTAGTGAGTGTGTGTTTGTTAGTGAGAGTGTATGGTTTGTCAGTGAGTGTGTGTCTGTCAGTAAATGTGTGTTTTGCTATTCTGTAGCATGAGGTCTCTGGAATTTGCTGTATAAGAGATTTGGGGTGGTCTTTATATGGTGAATTTCCTTATAAGGCAAAGTCTAAACTAAACGTTATTAAGTAATTTGGGCTATATAGAGCCAAGGACAAAGGACCACGCTCTCTTCCTTCTACAATCTGTTTTGCTCTCCTCTCTGATGTCCTGAGTTGCTGATACAAAGACGACTCCCTGTAACATCGTTAAGAAATACCATCTGTTAAGTATATTAAGTATATTATTGTTTGCTGTTGAATGTAGAATAAATACTTATTTTTTATAAAGAACGTCAGATTGCGTATTAGTACTTTTCAATAGCCATACTATAGCCCAGCTAAGCCCAAAAAGAAATGCCTGCCTGCCTGCCTTATACCTTACATAAAAAGACTTATTCCAGCAAAAAACACAGCCGAATTGTATGATATTTATATAGCGCCATCAAATTCCGCAGCGCTTTACAATGGGTAGACGAACAGACATGTAGTTGTAACCAGAGAAGTTGGACACACAGGAACAGAGGGGTTGAGGGCCCTGCTCAATGAGCTTACATGCTAGAGGGAGTAGGGTAAAATGACACAAAAAGGTAAGGATAGTATTAGACTAGTGACAGTTGCAGAAGAGGAATCAGTCAGGAGCTATTAACAGTTTAATTGATACACTTTTGCCAGAAAAGTATTTTTTTAATATATTTTCATTTAGCATATAGTAATGCACACATAGAGAAAAAACAAGCTTGGCTGGGAACTTCGCAGGTCTCGCTAACTTAGAAAGAAGTGTTTTTTGCGATTTTGAAGGAGTGGAGACTGGGTGAGCATCTAACGGAGGAGGGAAGCGAGTTCCACAGGAATCTAACGGAGGAGGGAAGCGAGTTCCACAGGAATGGCGCAGCCCTCCAGAAATCTTGAAGGCGAGCATCAAAGGTGGGAGTACGGACAGAAGATAAACGTAAGTCTTCAGCAGATTGTAAGGGCCTAGACGGGACATACTTGTGTATAAGGGAGGATAGATAGGTGGGAGCAGCATTATGTAGAGATTTGAAAGCAAGAACCATAATTTTAAATTGAGCTCTATATTTTATAGGAAGCCAATGTAGGGACTGACAGAAGGGTGAGGCATGGGAGGTGCGGGCGGACAGGAAGATGAGCCTCACCGCCGCATTCATTATGGACTGTAACGGCGCAAGTTGGGAGCACGTAAGACCACTGAGAAGCGGATTACAGTAGTCAAGGTGAGAAAGGACAGTGGAATGGACCAACACCTTAGTCGCATCTGGCGTTAAGTAGGGGCGGATGCGCGTGATGTTTTGGAGATGAAAATGACAGGATTTGGCGATAGATTGAACATGCGGCTTGAAGGAGAGGTGGGAGTCAAAGAGAACACCTAGGCAGCAAGCCTGCATGGTGGAGCTGATGGTAGCACCGTAGACTTGGAGGGAAATAGACACAGGAGTAATAACACTTGAGGGAGGAAAGACCAGAATTTCAGTTTTGGTCAAGTTTAGTTTAAGGAAGTGGGCAGCCATCCAGTTAGAAACAGCAGAGAGGCAGTCAGAGACACTAGTCAAGAGGGACAGGGAGAGATCAGGAGAGGATAGGTAGATTTGCGTGTCATCTGCATAGAAATGATATTGGAAGCTAATGAGTTTACCAAGGGAGGCAGTATAGATGGAGAACAGTAGGGGACCAAGGACTGAACCTTGGGGGACACCAACAGAGAGGAGTTGGGGAGAAGAAGCAGAGACAGAGAAAGAAACACTGAAAGAGCGCTGGGAGAGGTAGGAGGAGCACCAGGAGAGAGCAATATCTTGTAGACCGATATTGCGGAGGATGAGAAAAAGCTGTTGATGATCAACAGTGTCAAAAGCCGCAGACAGGTCAAGGAGAATTAGGATAGAGTAGTGACCATGAGATTTTGCAGCGAGTAGATCATTGGATACTTTGGTCAGTGCCGTTTCCACAGAGTGCTTAGTGTGGAAACCAGACTGAAGCGGGTCTAGCAGAGAGTTGGACTCGAGGAAGTCTGTCAAT